ATCTTTTATTAATAAGCGATAAAAAATACATTATTGAATATAATACTCTGCCATGCTTAATTTACTTGATCTTATTCCACCAGAATTAATACCATTTATTACAAAGTATCTTCTGATTCAAGATCTTAAAAATTGTTATAGTCTAGATGATATATGGAAAACCGAAGCTATTAGAGAAATTCGCAAAAGATTAATAGTAGACTGCTCATCCATTGATAGTAAAACAACTGTTAAAGCACTTATTGATCCCAAATCCCAGTATAATAGTATCAGTAAAGCACTTCCTCGAAAAATGGATTTATATATAACAAGGATAGATGGATCTAAATATCCAGCAGTAGAAGCTCTTGGTGTTGGTGTGACAAATGCTGGTAAGAAAGTGATAGTAGGGGGTGGCTTCGTGATGAAGAAGTTTCTATTTCTTTACCCAATATCTTTGACGTGAGCCAGCCTTTGGCCGATTTGGGACCATCTTCATATTTAGGAAATTCATATGAACATTTCTTAGTTGTTGACAAGCCCGAATATGATTTGGTTTTAGGAAGCACGTGGCTAATGAGGTTGGGAAATAGGATTGATGGACGTGATGGAGATATTGGGAATCTAATAAGGAAAAAAGGATATATTACGCAAGAAATAGTATTGATATTCTGTCTCCTTTATTATATACATTCTACGAATTATTATTTCCTAAATTTTCTGCAATTAATTCAGATAGGGAAGTTATATTAATCGAGTTTTCTGACCAAAATATGGAGAATAACCTTATTGATCTAAACTAATATTACGATTCAGATTATTCTGAGACGGAGTCCGAATCTAGTGATTCTGAAACAGAGTTTGAATCTAGTGATTCTGAAGTAGTGGATGTACCTCTTTCGGTTATAAGTGGAATGATACAAGATAATAGCAGAGCTAGTGTCAAGACATATAATATCGATTTTATTCCTAATCATTCATCGTGGGTTATAAACAATTGCACCCACTAGCAGGAAATAGATAATTAATTGTTAGTTATTTTTTCGGTCAAATATGTATCACATAATATAACGTACTATGAAAATAGTCAAAGCTAAAGTAGTATCACAGAAAATTAATTGTCGCCTCGAACCAGGATTTCTCGGACTATCAATGTGTACTGATAAGCTCCTTAAGAAAATAGGTGGTAAAATTAGCAGAAAATTAACACTCGAAGAAAAAGATAGCAAATTTATCAGAGAAGAAGCCACAGCTCCACTTGAATTGGCCGTAATCCCACTCACATTTACATCTAATATAAAAGATAATATCCATCTTAATAATAAAAAATCTATCACGATTCCAACTGAAGTACTGGTTGATAGATATAACTCTACATTACCTAATTATATATTGCTTGGTAATAATTGGTTCTATAGACGCAAATATGATGATGATGAGCTCCAGAC